ACCAAAGAAAAATCAAATTTTCAAAAACTCACCATCACTGTATTTAAATATTAGTTAAATAAAATCTTTGTGTTTTCTAAATTTTATATTTAAATATTTCATTGACCTTGTTTTTTCATTGTAAAAATTTTTTAATCATTCTTAATGTTTAATCCTAATTCCGTATTTATGTTTAATATCCAACTATTCTATTTTGATCATTCAAGTATCTTTTATTTCAAAATTATATATAACATTACGTTTTGGTTTTATTTTGTTTATATATCGTTAAAAATTTAACGATGATGTTGATGTATCAGAATATGATAATATCACATCATCATTGAATTTTCTTTAAATGTCACATCAGTAGTTTGTTTATTTTTAATGATGGGTGATCAAAATAAAACTAAAATTTAATATTAAATATGAGTTTTTAAAAATAATAATCAAGTGATTAGAACAAAACAAAATTATAATTAAAATACTAAACATATAATTTATCCTAAATAATATTGATGTCATACAAATATTTTTATAGTTTATATTCGATGAGAAGGTGATTGAAAATGTATGTTATATTTGATGAATATTATATATTTGATTTTTTAAAAATGTTGTAATTTAATTATAATTTTATAGAAAAAAATATTAATGATAATATTTAAATTATGATAATTGTTGTTTACCCCTCCTAATTGTGGCAGAGAGTGAAGTAGGTATGGTTAGTCATAATTTAAATTTTCAGTCTCCACAAGGGGAATAAGAGAATGAAGTAGGAAGTGGTTTTAGATTCTTCTTTTAATCATGATTATTAGTGTTATTGTTAAATTTAAATTATGATTATTTCTAGACCGATGGATCTAATATACTCAATTAATTAATTAATTTATAATTTTGACTCTAAAATATCATGTAGATCTATCAAGATTATATAAAAAAATTACAACTTCTCAAGAGGTATAGGGCATATGAAACTCCATATCTAAAGATATTCTACAACGACATAATCACAAAAGAATTTTCAAAAAAACTTGATATAGATATATCAATCATACGAAAAAATAAATAAAAATATATAATATTTTAAATAGAAAATAAATCTTATCTAAATTAAATTTATCAAATCATACAATTTTTTAATTAATGCAATTATTTCAAAAAAAAAATAAGAAAATTACATAATAACTCAAACATAATCAATTTAAATTATAGTTTGATGCTTTATGAGATTTAATTTATAGACACATTAGGATGAACAAAACTCGAATTGATTAGAGTACTTGCACCTCTAAGTTTGAGGATGGCTTGGAAGTTAAAAATATGAAATGTTGGAACAAAGCTTGTGTGTTGATGTTGATGAGGAACATTCTTACTGATGAAGGGTCTTTATGAGTTGCTTGGATTATAAGTCTTATTTTAGTTGGAGTTTGAGGAAAATTTTGAAATTGAGAGATGAGGCTAAGGGGCTGTTTGTTTGCCTCTTAATGGAATCATTCAGCGTTGAATGTTGAACCGTTCAGCATTCAGAGCGTTTGTTTCGCACCTCTGAATGATTCAGTGCTGACTGATTCAACACAGAAGTACATTCTGAATGATTCAGAGCCATTATCAAACAACATGTCACATTCAGAGCTAATTCATACAGAGCATCTGAATCATTCAACATTTGAATCATTCAGCGCTTAATCATTCTAAAGTAAACAAACAGTCCCTAAACCTCTATTTGATTGTGTTACTGACTGGACAAAGATTTCGACAAGGTGGCTGTGGGATGAGATTAAAGATAACAAGGAAAAGATTGTGATGCAGAATTTGTTATGATTTTCTATGAATGTCCCTAAGCACTGGCTCATTGCTTGGATGGCAATGTTTGACATGTTGTCTACTGCTGATCGGCTGTTTAAAATGGAGATAAATATGGATGGTGGCTGCAGGAATTGTGGTGGGGTGGGGCAAACGGAACCATATCTTCTTTGAGTGTTCCTTCTCAAGGGAGGTTTGGAAAGCTGTCCTTAAACTGTGTATGGTTTTGTGAAACTGTGGGGAGATAGGATGATGAGTTAGACTGGGCTATTGCTCTCTCCAAGGGCAAATAACTTATTGTATACATCTTGAAGGTGGTTTGGTGTGCATACATATACTACATATGGGAGGAGATAAACCATAGACAATTTCGAGGTGTTGCTATATGTGCAGGCTATATTGTAAATTAGGTGTGATGTTGTTAAACAAGCAATTTATATAGCTTGGGGAATTCAACTTCCTTAAGTTTTGTTGATGTAATTGTTCTTGTTTTTTTTAGCAGCGTGTTTGTTGTTTCTTGAATATAAATGAAGAAATTTATTCGAAAAAAGAACCGAGAGCTTAATACAAATGCTAAATCGACGTTCTAGTAAACATGAGAATAATTTCCTTTATATATACACATGATTATACTACATTTAAAATAAACAAAATAAAACATTTTGCAAATCAAATTGAGTACAAATCTAAACCAATTTGCAAGTAAGCATGTGGACCAAATTGGCGAAATGCATCATTCAAAATTTGAACTAAAATATTTATTTAAATAATTTTTGTTTTACATATTTTGATTATTTATTAATTTATTTGAATAGAATATTATAAAGATTTGTTATAAGATTATTTTTTAATTCATTGTGCTTTATTCTCAATGTTATCATTCGAACATCCGACTTTGTTTAAAGGACTTATCATTAGAGATATTTATTGTTTTATTAAAAAACTGAACTAACTGACCGAATTGATTTAATTTAGTTAAACTGTGTGTGTATATATATATATATTAAGAAAAAAAAAAGTTAGTTCACTTAATGGTTAAAAAAAATAGGTTTATTTAGTTTTAGATAATTTAGTTTAATGATTGACTAAATTAACTGTTTGAATGTCCTATCTAATTTTTGTTGTAATGCCTGAAACCGCACATAACCCAAAACCCTTAAATTAGATCATTACATACATAACACATCTAAACTAGCGTACATACATAGTACATTTCGAACATGAAATTTCTTTAAAAAGTACAACATTTTATTATCGAAACTGCTCATAAATTCCACGTATTCATTATTATTAATCCATACCTAATCAAATAATAAAATAAAATAAAAGATCTACAATACTCGTCGAGTGTGGATGAACACTGTTAACGATGAATAACATTAAATTAATTTATAAAATATTAAATTATAAAATATTAAACGTATAATTATAAATTAGTTAAAATCTAAATATAATTTAATTAAAATACAATATTTATAAAACAAATGGTGGCGTATGTCACTATGTGATTGAATGTTTTTTTCTTCATATTTTTATTTAATTTAATAAATTTTTCATCTAATCAAATGATACCATGTGTCATCAATTGAATGAATAGAAAATAAATTAGATCAATTACCACTACTAGTGGGGTTTGAACCCAACACGTGAGCAGAGTAAATAAACACCCCAACCACTGGGTTACATCATTCAAATGGCAAACATATCATGATATAATATATATAGTTAATGATAATAAAAAAAGGGAAAATGACCTAATAAGAACTTCAATATGGAATAATTGAATAATACGATAATATGATACATATACACAAATATTATAACTTATTAATATGTGAATGTATGTTATTTATATTTTAAATCATTTTAATGAAAAAATAAAAATAAAAATAATGTTAATAAATTATAATTTAAATGTAACGAAGAGTTTCACTGACTTAGAATTTTCCTAATAGTTGAAGACTTATCACAATAAGAATTTTAACTTATGCATTGATTTGTTTATATCCCGGTTAGAGTAAGAATTTTATATTTCATTATCTATTCATTATATATTTGAAGAAAATTTTAGGGGAAACTTGATTTTATTGAATTAGTATATTTTAATAGAGTTGTTAAATAAGATTAGAATCTGATCAACGTTATAATATTTTTTATTAAAGTAATAATATTTTAAAATATAAGATATGATACATTTCAGTTCAATAAAATTAGAATAATGAAGACAATTTATTAATTTAAAATATGTAAAATTATACAATTCAATTATAACATATTAAATTCACTTTTATTTTAGTGTTTGCATTAAATGTGATTTAAAATATAAATAAAACATATTCATTTATTAATCAATTATAATATTTGTTTATATATATTTTATATTTTCATACTACTCAATGATTTCATGTTTGAGACCTTATAAGGTCATTTATTACCATTAACTATATTATAAATTATATAAATTATGTTTTGTATTTTAAACAAATTTAGTGGTTCAACTTAGTGAGTAGGGCACTTAATTTTTCGGCTTGCGTCCCAAGTTCAAAACCCACCAGCAGCGGTTGTTGATTTAATTTACTTTCCATTCATTCAATTGGTGACACGTGAAACCACTTGATTAGATGAAAAATTTATTAAATAAAAAATATTAAAAAACATCCAATCACATAGTGACACATGTCACAACCAGATTGAAGATTAAATTTATTGAATTAAATAAAAGTTAGGATCAAATTAATAGAATGTGAAAGTAATAAGGACCAAATGTATAATTATACAAATTTTATTAACTGTCACGTCATCTCCTCCGTTAATGTTTTACGGCAGGTGACTTGATTGACAAGATTTAAATAGTTAAGTGACCCGATTAATAAAATTAAAAAATCGGTGGTTAAAGTAAAAGGGGTAAATAGTTAGGTGGTCAATGATATAATTTACCCTAAGAACTAATATTTTATAAATATTGTATTTTAATTAAATTACATTTAGATTTTTAACTAATTTATAATTATACGTTTAATAGTTTATAATTTAACGTTTTATAAATTAATTTAATTGTGCCCATCATTAACCGTGATTATCCATACTCGTCGAGCTAACAACATCATCCTAAAATAAAATAACATAGCATAACCAAATTCAAATGGCAAAAAATATCAATTTTATCTTAAAAACGGTTTCTATGAATTCTCTATGGGCGCACGTTAGCAGGACTAATGGGTTCATCAGAGTGCTTCGTCGTTGCTGATTTTCATCATTTCTCTTGTGTTTCTAGACCATTCTTGTTCGTTTTTGTGATTTTTATGGATACTACAGCTTCGAATTTGGATTAGAGGAAGTTGTTTTGGGGGTGTTGCGGACCAATCCTTAACCTACTTCCCGTCTGAGATCTTGGAGGGGGTTTTCACTGTTAAGCCTCCTCCCGCTGTGATAGATGAGGGAATAGCTGAGTGGAGTCACGCGGTGGTTGGACAATTCATTGGTGTGGCTCATAATTTTGGCTCGATGCAGAGATTAGTTGAAATTCTTTGGGGGGAGTCTTCGACAGTCAAGGTAAGTCTGGCTGGCCCTAGTCTCTATGTTTTCTCCTTTTTTAATGCATCAGTTAGGGATTGGGTGCTTGATAACGGGCCTTGTCACATTCAAAATAAGCTATTGTTGTTGAGGAAGTGGGATCCAAACTTGCAGAAACTTAATCTTAACCTTAGGAACATTCCGAATTGGGTACAATTGTATGATGTACCATTGGAACTCTTCTCTAGGAATGGCCTAAGCTATATTGCGAGTGTTGTGGGTCTTCCTTTGTACATGGACTCTATTACATCATCCAAGCAGAGACTTGAATATGCTAAGGTTTGCTTGGAAATAGGGGTTAATACTGTTATTCCTGAGGTTATTCATGTGGCATTAAAGGATGGGTCTGTTGTGAAGATACGGGTGTATGTGCCTTGGTTGTCTAAGGTCTGTTCTCATTGCAAGATTTTTGGGCATTTTTCTAGTACATGTACTGAGAATCAAAATGATCTTTTAAAAAGCAGGAATACTCAGATTTGGAGGAGGAAAGTTGTTTCTGTCTCCTCTGTAATTGATGAAAAGGAGAAGAATCTGGTAGATAATGAGGGTTTTGATTTGAATCATGTTATTTCCTCTGGTTGCCCTAATGCAGAGAACATTCATGTAATTGATGGAGGTTCTAAGGGCTTGGGATTGCAAGGTGGTGCTGCTGTAGAAGTGACTGTGGAAGCTTTGCAAGAGTGCTCTGAGGATAATCTTTAGAAAGCTACAGTTCCAGCTAAGGTTGCAATGGTTGGTAAAGAGGCTTTGGAAGTTGTAGCTCCAACTGAGGTTGTTGTGAATGGTAAGAAGATGTAGAAGGTTGCTAGTGATGGTGATATGGTGCAGGCACAGGAAGTTGTAGCTCCAGCTGAGGTTGTTGTGAATGGTAAGAAGTTACAGAAGTTTGCTAGTGATGGTACTATGGTGCAGGCGCAGGAAGCTGTGGCTCTAGCTGAGGCTACTGTGGCTGATAAGAAGTTACAACATTCTGATCATGATCAGATTGGTGGTGAGCTTCCATCCCTACAAGGCTCTATTCCAAAGAAGAAGTCTAAAGGGAGGAAGAAAGACAATTCTGGTTCTACTAGCAAGTTAGAACAAATCGCTGGAGAAGTTGGAATTGAAGGCAACAGGAAACCTAGAGCAGCTGCTTTGGGTGTTACTTTGCTTTTTAACGAGATCAAAGCCAAGAAGAAAGATATGGTTGAGAATGTTATTGGGAATGGTGGTCCTCCTAATCTGGCTTTATGATTTTTTGCTTTTGGAATGTGAGGGGTATTAATAATGCCCTTAAGCAAGGAAAAGTGATGAAAAGATTGGAGAACTTAAGAGTAGATGTAGCTTGTTTTATGGAGACTAGAGTTAGAAACTCTAATTTTTCAAAGGTGATTTCTGTTCTTACTAATAATTGGCATAGTGCTGCAAACTATGAGTTTACTGATGGGGGCAGAATTTGGATTCTATGGAAGATGAATCTGTCTTTCTCTGTAATTAGTGGTTGTGATCATGCCTTCTCTATTATAGGGGATGTGGCTGACCATAGACCAGTGATAACTGCAGTTTATGGAAGAAACAATAGCCAGCAGAGGAGAGTCTTTTGGGAGTATTTGAGATCCTTGGAGAGTGAGATTGGTTCAATCCCTTGGATCATAGGTGGGGATTTCAATGTAATTTCTAATGCCCAGTAGAGTTCATATTTTCTTGCCTTGAGCTCATATGTTTCACTAGATATGGAAGAGTTTCAAGAATGCATTGAGGATTTGGAGGTGCATGATCATCATTTTGTGGGCCCTATCTTCACTTGGTCCAATAAACAAGAGGGGGCATACTTGGCCAGGAAACTTGACAGAATTTTGATTAATTCCCAGTGGTTACTTGAATTTCCAGAGTCATTTGTGGAATACAAAGCTCCAGGAGTGTCAGATCATTGTCTTGGAATTATCTGGACACAGAAAGGTACTCGGGCTCACATGCCAAAGCCTTTCAAGTTTTTCAATTGCTGGACTGATAGTGAAGACTATTTAAGTAGTGTGATGAGTTCCTGGCAAGCTTGCACCAGAGGGAATGTATGCAGGTCTTATTTTGCAAAATGAAGAGGTTGAAGCCAGTTTTAAAGGATCTAAATAAAAGACATTATTCTGATATTTCTTCTAGGGTTGTTGCTAAGAGAGATGAACTATAGCATATTCAATTATCCAATCTTGTTAATGCTGATCACCTTGGCGTTGAGGAGGAAAGGAAAATTCAGGCTGACTTGGTTGGACTTGAGATAGCAGAGTTGGAATTCTTCAGGCAGAAAACTAAGGCTCATTGGTTGCAGGAAGGGGATCTTAGCACAAAATATTTTCATCAAAAAGTTGAATCCCGCAAGAAAATCAACACTATAAGAGTTATCAAGAATGATGATGGGCAGTTTCTTGAGACTTTCGATGGAATGTCAGCTGTTCTATTGGAGTTTTACAAAAAAAACTCATTGGTGTAATTGATCCTTTGGTTAAAGGTTGTCAACAAGACTGGTTAAGGGATCTTTTGAGTTACTCTTTGCCTACTGGAGCTGATAGAGTTCTGATTGGTGAGGTTTCAGACAAAGAAATCCATGAAGCCTTATTTATGCAGGGGAAAGACAATAGTCCAGGGCCAGATGATTATACATCCTGGTTTTTCAAGTCTGCCTGGGAGATTGTGAGAAAACACTTCCTTAGTGTTGTGAGGTATTTCTTTCAAACTTCTTTCCTCTTGCCAGCTTTTAATGCAACTACAATAGTCCTAGTGCCAAAATCCCTGAATGCTTGTATTGTAAGTGAGTTTAGGCTTATTTCATGCTGCTCTATTGTTTATAAGACCATTACCATAATCTTGGTCACTAGGCTTGGATAATTTTTTCCTGATATGATCTCTGCAAGTCAATATGCTTTTGTCAAGGGCAGGAGTATTACTGATAACAATTTGCTTGCTCAAGAAATTGTTAAAGGATATTCTAGGAAGAACCTTTCTCCTAGGTATGCAATTAAGATAGACTTGAAGAAAGCATTTGATTCTATTAACTGGGAATTCTTGCTCAATGTTCTTGGAGCTGTGGGTTTGCCATCTCGTTTTTCTGATTGGATTAAGACCTGTGTGACAACACCTAGTTATTCAATAGCTTTGAATGACAGTCTAGTGGGTTACTTCAAAGGTGTAAGGGGTGTTAGGCAAGGAGACCCTTTGTCTCCTTATCTATTTGTACTGGTCATGAATGTACTTTCTAGATTATTAGATGCTGCAGCTAGGAGTGGTATTTTCAAATATCACCCTAGATGTAAAAGGATCTCCCTCACCCATTTATGTTTTGCTGATGATTTGTTGATGTTTTGTTATGGATCTTTGGATTCAATGTTGGGGGTGGTTAGTGTTTTGAATAAATTTTATGAGATGTCTGGTTTAATGCTCAATGCTTCAAAGACGGAGATGTATGCTTGTGGGGTTAATGATGGAGTTTTGGAGCAGATTAAGAGGGCCACTAGGTTTCGAATCGATCAGTTCCCTGTCAGATATTTGGGGGTGCCCTTAGTAACTCGCAAGCTCTCAAGGACAGATTGTTCTGCCCTTATGAGAAAATTAGGGACAAGTTGAGGAAGTGGTCGAGTACGAGACTAAGCTTTTGGGGCAGGCTGCAGCTTATTAAGACAGTCTTGTTTAGCATCTTTAATTACTGGAGCAGACAACTTATACTACCCAAGGGTGTGATTCAGGATATTGAACGGTTGTTCATGCGCTTCTTTTGGAAAGGAAATGATTCCTCGGCTAGAGGTGCCAGAGTCAGTTGGACTCAAATATGTTCCCTGAAATCGGAGGGGGGCTTAGGACTTCGAAGTTTGATTGGTTGGAATAAGACATGCAGTCTTATGCTTGTTAAGAGCATCTTAGCTTATGAGAGCTCTTTATGGATAGCATGGATCAAAGCTTATTGCTTCAAACATGAGAATTAATGGAGTGTTGATAATAAACCTCACTTCAGCTGGATTCTCATAAAACTGATTAAGATGCGAGAGGAGGCTAGTGTTATATTTGCTGCTCCTGTAAGTTGGTCACAGGTTAAAGGCGGGTGGATATGGGAAAGGATTTGGGATAGAGGGGAAAAGGTGATTGGCATCGCTTACTTTGGTTTCCTTCTCCTGTTCCAAAGTTTTCCTTGATCACGTGGATGGTTATCCTCGACAGGTTGCCCACCAAGGACATGTTAATTCGGTTTGGAATGGTGGTAGATCCTGGTTGTAGGTTATGTATGAGTGGGCTTGAATCTAGGAATCATCTGTTTTGGGATTGTAGTTATTCGAGAGCTATTTGGGATTCTCTCTTGCGTGCTTGTGGGTTGCAATTACAATGACTTAGCTGGGAGAGCCATCTTGGTTGGATGATTAATAACTAGAAAGGCAAGTCCTTGCTGATTCATGTTCTCAAATTAGCATGGACTGGTTTCGTCTATTTTACATGGGAGGAGCGGAATCATCGTATCTTTAGAGGTTTGTTGCGTTCGACGGATTCAATTGTAAATATCATAAAAGGGGCAATTAGGATTAAATTGTATAGGTATAGAATGAATAGAGTGGATAATGTAAATAGACAACTTTGTGTTGACTGGGGGCTTATATAGCTGGTTGTAACTGCGTTTTTTTGTAGCAGTTATCTGCTTTCTTTGGATAAATAAATTTGATTATCCAAAAAAAAATTCAAATGGCCAACTAGGAAGTAAATGAAACAAAGAAAAAAACATATTATATATATATGATTCACCCCGGAAGAATCTGTCCATGTAAGAGTCTAAGGAAAGTCAGCAAAACGCACCAAAACAGATGAAAAACTCTGTTTCCTTTTATTTTCTTTAAATTCCCATGCCAAATTGAGTATTGAGGAAGTAGGCACAGCGTCTGTTATTTTCATTAGTTCATAGCTTCCTTTTTAGCCTATTTCAGTCCATTTGCAAAACCCTGCAATCTCTCAAATTCTTCATATCAATTTTTCTATAGGTAAGCTACTTTGAATCTGATGAAGAAATCTGCCCTTTTTTATGGATTTCTTGAAAAGAATTAAGAAATGATTTGTTTTAACTGGTTTTTTACTTTGAATTGATTTTTTTGTCATGATGTATTGATGCAGGTATAACCTCTTTAGAATCTTGGGGAAGTTTTGCCAATTTGGAAGGTTCTCAATCCAGGAAAAGGTAGGTGAATCTTTTACTTTTTTACACTAATGGTTCCTTTTCAAAGTACTCTTTTATTTATTTGTGTAGAATTTTGTGGGATTTGGAGAAATTCTGGGTGTTAAAGTGAAGTAGATAATGTGTTTGTAGAAATCTGGCAATGGAAGATAGGTATAGCTATTCCAGGAAAAGCAGTGGTGCATTATGGAGATCCTTGAGAGATGGGGATTTTGAGGAAGAAGATGTATGGGCAGTTTTCAAGGAAAGTAAAGATTCAACGTTCAAAGTTGGCCAATCCATTGAATCATTAAGTATTGCAGTTACTAGACATCTCCCAAGTGCTGCAAGAATGATCCCCAGATCTTTGTCTGCGATTAGTGATGTCGGAAGCTGTTGTTCTAGTTCAACCACTACTCATGATGAGACCCATGGTGTTAAGCAGCAGCAATCAGCCCATGTAAACATCCCTGATTGGTCAAAGTTTTCTACAAAGATGGGGAATGGTTCATGGCACGGTGATGACGACGACGACGACAACAATGATGATGATGAATATCATACCAAGTTTCCACCACATGAAATCATTGCTAAGCGGCTAGCAAGAAGTCAGATTTCATCTTTCTCGGTGTTTGAAGGTGTTGGTAGAAAACTCAAAGGGAGGGACTTGAGGAAAGTGAGAAATGATGTTTTAACAAAAACAGGTTTCCTTGAATAATTTTCATCAATGGTAATTATAACTCCATTTTTATGTTCAATATTACAAACTCTAGGATCGAGGGGTTAGTAGGACGGTCGTTCTCTGAAAATTTCAAATTATTATATATTTTAATTTTTTTTTGTATTTTCTATTGATATCTATTTTTAATTTTTTAAAATTTTATATGTTTGTCACACACTAAAATATAATAAATTCTCACCTTAGTAAACAATTTTAGGTCCGTCCTTGACTACTCGTAAACTGTGAATCAATTTTGCAGAGACGAAGGTTAATGCAATGGAGCCAGAAACAGAACCACCTTCTCAGTCAATTCAAGCAAGTGTCTGAATGTGTGCATATCAAACAAAGCCGGGGCATGCCTTTGCTAAGTACCAAAACTGGGACCATTGATGACGTTCCTTTCTCCCATTTTGTCATTTCTAGGGTTTCCTGTAAGCAAAATAAAACATTGCAACTCCATTCAATGAATGTAAGGTTCCTTTCATTGCTCTTCCTGTCCTTTTTCATTCTAAATTCATAATTTATTGAATGTACATTTTTTATGCCGTATGATTGCTACTGAAAAAGATATAGTCAAATCATTTAGGGCCTTAGGCTTAAAGGAAATTGGACATTGTCTGGCCCCAAGACAAGGTGATATTAGAGAAATGCTTATGTTAAAAATTAAAATTAAAAAAATAAAAATTATGAGAAATTATTTAAAAAAAATATGATGATATTTAGAGTGGTTAATAAAGTCGTCGACATATAAATACATTTTCTCATAAAATCATCAGTGGTTGACGACGACTTTAATTTATTTTTATATATATTAGAATCGAAGTCTAAAAAAATGAAAGTGAAAAGGGCTAAAACAAAAATATTTAAAAATCACCTTTAAGTGAATTAAATTTTCAAGTCCTTACTTAAGCTCGTTGTTTCATTTGATCATACAGTTAACTTTTAATTTTAATCCCTATACTTTTATTTCTCTTCAATTTAGTTCTAAAAATACAAAAGAAAGAAAAATTGGATCAAAAATCATCAACAGATGAGAATCACTTTAGCAAAGTCATTAGCAGCTACCGATGACTTTGTATTTTTGTTTCATTTTAAAATCAAATTAGAAATAAATAAAAGTAAAGGGACCAAAATAGAAATTTTTCATAAATTAGATTTTGTTATATAATATTTTTATAAAATTATTTTAGTCTCTATATTTTTAATTTCCTTTCAATTTGATCCTAGAAAAAAAAAGGAAATTGGTATGCAATTACGGATCACAACTTCACCAAAATCAATTTTAATGACTAATGACTTCCACTCTAGCATCCTTAAATTCCTAATTTATTTTTCTTAATATCTATTTTCTCTAATTTCCGGTCTTTTTGCTACATGTTGCATTTATTAAAATTATCTTAATTTTTAATATCTTAAACATTTTAAATCTAATATTTAACTATAATAAAATATAATTAATTACGAATAAATTGATGAATTAAGTTTATGTTTTTTTAGTCCTACAAACCAATATCAACAAGCAAAAACCCAACAATATTGGTTTTTATATAAATAAAAGTAAAAAAAAAAACATTTTAACAAATTCCAGGAAAGTCATGATTCCAATAATAGGAACTCTGAGATCGATCATGTTCGTCCGGTGCAGTGTCGAGGGGCAATAATGAAGCAATTCCATCATGCAGTTCGAGTCCAAACCCTAAATTGTCATTTGTTACAACTGACGATTGCTCATTGGAGCCTTCACCTTTGTCGATGTACCATTCGGGAACTGCCATCGCCATTGACGATGGATTTATGTTCGAATAATCTTCTTGTTTCGGTATATTCATAACCTCTTCTTTTGCCTTCAACCCTAAAGTATTGTTTCAAAGGAGAAAAGCAAGCAAAGAAACACGATAAAATTAGAGATTATATTATGCATGCAATGGATTTTAATTTTGAACGAAAAGGCTGACCTGAAGCTAAACAACTCTGATTGCCCATAATTTCGTTGTTGTCTGCCAACGCCTGAGCATCATTCAACATTTCTTCCAAGAAGTCATTCCCATTGATATTCAAGCTCGAGCTATGGTGGTCGACATTGTGATCATTACGGCCGTAATTATTATTATTCCCTTTAGGATCATGTGTAACTTCTGTATTATTATCATAAAATTGGATTGAAGGGAGCTCGTTTTTCATTGGGAAACCGAATCCGGGAGTCGACATAAACTGTCCCGGGTCGAAATGAGGTTCAAGGATTGTCGACGAAGATGAAGCGAGATCGAGTATAGTTTGGTCCAACGTGTATGAGTTTGGGTACTGTTGAGGGTTCAATGAATTGTGATTGAAAGGCTCAGTTTTTATCAAAGATGAAAAGGGTAACATAAAATTTGAACCGCCATTGTTGTTGTTTTCATGGCTTCCGTCATGTTTGAATCGCTTGTAACGAAGGGGATGTTGCAAGGAAGGCGGAGTTCTAGGGAAGTTAAAGTCAGGGGAAGATGGAGCGCTATCGGAAGTGTTCGATGGGAAAGCAGTTGAAAATGGAGGGCTATGAGGAGACTGAAGTGGAGAGAAATGGGAAGGGCTGAGAAGCGGCGGCGGCGTTGCGGAAGAATGTGGATCGTACATAAGAAGTTGCGATGACCGGGCGGCCATAAGGTTAGAGTTAGACGCCGATGATTGTAGCATCGAGCTTTGAGGAGGCTTCATCATCGGATTTTGGAACGAGAAAGATGGTGTTGTTGAAGGTGTTACCGCCGGCTGTGAACGGTGTTGGGATGAATATAAAGCTTGGATTTCAGGAGGGTAAAGTGGAAGACCTTGGCGTTGCCTTCTTTTCACTCTTGTGTTCCAAAAGTTTTTGATTTCATTGTCTGTTCTTCCTGGAAGCTATCATCAATGGCGGAAAGAAAAGAAAAATCAAAACCTCTACGTAAAAAAATCATAAAAGAAGATAATAATTACCCGAGTAGCCATACGAGCCCATTTATTTCCCATGATACCATGCATTTCAACGATGACCCTTTCTTCTTCCGGCGAAAATGCTCCTTTCTTCAAGTTCGGCCTCAAATGGTTAGCCCATCGTAGCCTACAACTTTTCCCACATCGAGCCAAACCTGCATTCTTTTGCACCGCATTCCAATTCCCTTCACCATGAGTCCTCACGTACTCCGCCAAAATTACATCCTCGGCCGCTGTCCACGGCCCCTTTTTCAACGTCACACCACCGTTGTTCGACCGAGCGGCGCCGCCCTCGTTTTGTGTACTAACGTGATTGTTGCTGGCGGTTCCTCCTATCATCATCTCCTTCCTTTTTCGCCTCTAAATTACCCTACACGTAAAAATATTTTTTTCCTTGTGTCTACGTCCTGCTTGATGATGTTATGATTTCGTCGTCTTTGTACCCTTTTTCTTCTTCTTTTCCTCCTTTCTTTCCCTTCTCTTTTCTTCACAATAATGAAGAGGAGAAGGGAAAACAAAGGAGAAAAAAATTACATAAAACTATGTAACTTCTCAAGGTATGTTTTTCGTTTTGCTTGAGAAATGATGAAAAAGAAAATGAGAGTGAAAAATAAAGTAAGGTTTTTTTTTTAATTTAACTCAATTGATTTTAATATCGAAATCTAAAATTCAAAATTTAATTTTTTATCTTTGAAAATATATTAAAAATTTGATATAAATATTTTTTATCTTAATTAAATTGAAGAAATATCTCTTAGGATTTTATTGTTTTTTGTTTTCTAATAAACGTTTGTTAAGAAGGGGAAGGCCTAAACTCAATATGTCCTAAAAGTAGATTAGACCAGAAGAGGAAGCTTTGACAGAGGGTCTTAGCGAATTTAGGGATAAAATAGATTCAATGGTAAAGCCTAATTGGCGGGGTTCATTTTATTTTATTTTCAATTTTCTTTTCTAGGTTTTGGACTAATTCCTTTGATAATTATAAAAAAATTAGTTTAAGTCTATTTGGCTTTCATCTTTGTTAAGGAACCTTAATTTTTATAGTAATATAATTCTATTTTTGAGGTGGATTAAGCTTACATAATTATTAATTATTGGTCACCCAAATGCATTTTTTATAATATATATATATATATATTCATCTAATGAATGATAAATATACTTAATCCTATTTCGGTAGTGTATAAATTCGAATTCCTGATATATTATATAATTTGAAAAAATACATAGTTTAAGTAAATATTCTTTTATATATTATAATAATATTATTAATTGAAGTAACATTTAATAATTCTTTTAAAAATACTTATCCATTATTTTGAGGGTAAACTACATGGTGATCCCTTATATTTTAGGTCCGTTCAATGTTGATCATATGTTCAAAAAAATTGATAATAATCCCTTACGTTTTCGATTTAAAACAAATTGATCCTTCTGTCATTAATTCAGGTTACTCTAATAACAAAAATATGAGTTGGCATTTAAATAAAAAATAAAATCCACCTAAGTAACTAGGTGTAATACCTAATACGGCAAAATCTCGTTGATAGTGCGTTGAAATTTTTTATTCGTTAAATAGTGGGATCGCCAGATTAATTGCTAAAGTAGTGTCCTCTACAGTACCGGGGGTAGGTCGCCATGCACGCCCGGCGACCAACCAGGTCGCCATGCACGCCCGGCGACCAACCAGGTCGCCATGCACGCCCGGCGACCAACCAGGTCGCCATGCACGCCCTGCGACCTACCCCACGACCTCCATGCACGCCCATGCACGCCCAACGACCTCCATGCATGCCCAGGCACGTCCAACGACCTCCATGCACGCCCAACGACCTCCATGCACGCCCAGCTCGCCAAAGGTCACCATGCAGTCCATGCTTGGACTGAACAACGTTGGGCCATGCAGGATAGGTAGCCATACAATCCTCTCCACTTGCAGCTGCTCAGGAGAACCTATTCCTCCTGCTCCTCGCGTGATTCCTCTTACATCTGCTGTATTATTGCAGCATGATTTGAGCTGCAAAGTGTCATAGATTCGTGCCCTAGCTTCTAGCCATAGCTTGTCCCTCATGCCATAGCTTCGAGACTGTTCACTCTTGTTATCATAGCTGTATTGGTGCAGCATAAAATCAGCTGTGTTGTATTATTGCAGCGTTCAACGGTTGAAAAATTTACAGCTTTCAACGTGAATTATACAGCTCAAATTGATTGCAACTTACCTACCAACCGTTGAAATATCATTATATATTGGATATGAGGGGTTTAGGGTAGAATCATAAGAAAGAAAGAAAATTTGGCGAGAGAAAGGAAATGAAAGGAAAATAAGAAGAAGAGGAAATGGAGATAAAGGCTCAAATATCGTTTGTGAGGTAATTTTTAATTGTTTAATTTAGTTTATTAATATGAAATTATGAAATAATTAGTTTGTTAGTTTAGGGTTTAGGATAAAACAGAAATTTAGTTAATTAGTTTGTTAGTATAAATTATTAGTTTGTTAGTTTAAGTTATATTATATTAATTTGTTAGTTTAAGTTATATATTAGATTATATAAAAAATTAGTTAATTAGTTTCTTAGTTTAAGTTATTAAATGTAAAAAATATTTAATTAATTTGTTAGTGTGTTTAAACGTATATTAAGTTGTTTGTTGAAGTTTAAGTTAAAATATTAAAAAAGTTAATTAGTGCTTAATTAGTTTGTTAGTTTGTTATTTTAACTAAATTATATTATAATAAAGAAAAAGTTTATTAGTTTAAGTTATATTATAATATATTAGATTATATAAATTTAATTTTTTTAATTTATTGTTGTTTAAAGAAATAATTTTTTTACACGTACAGAGCATTATTCCACAACATTTTTCCACGTACATATTGATTCGAAGAAAGAAACAATAAAGGAAAGGAAAGGAAAGGAAATGAGCAACAACTTTTTCACGATTGTCCATTATAATGGACAGATTATGGAAAATGAGATCGGAGTAGTTTTTCAGTCTGAAAAACCAATAAATATGATGTTCAAAAAAGACATCACATTTATAGAAATGAAGCATAAGATAGAAAGAAAAATTCGAGTTGCAGTTGATGGTTTGAGGTATAGGTTTATGATATGCCCCAACCCAGTCAAATATGCTGCAGTTCCACTTGAAGAAGATGATGATATTGGAACCATGGTTCGATTACATGAGTTAACCAATATAGCAGTTATTGAGTTATTTGTTGATGTGCATAACATATGTGATGTTCCTGGGTCATCAAGAGGTGTGGCTCAAAATCCATCTGAAATGACTTTATATAGTCAGTTTGAGGAGCCGACATACAGGTTCCCGAACAGTTTTATGGCACTATTGGAAAGTGTAAATGAAGTCGGGGGGACATCTGCAACAGAAGAGTGTGAGACGAGAAACATACCGGAATTGGTTGTTGATATTGACGCTGAAAATCGATGGGGAGAAATTCATGATGATTCAAGCGAAGATGAAGAAACCGAAGAACCCGTTTTGGGCGGCGACGAAAATATTTTTGGTGGAGGTGCAATTGATGAAGTTCCGGCACCGTATGAAGCTACTCCTCACATGTACGAGATAGACTATGATGCGATGAGGGCACCTGAATTCCCAGACATGCCACATTTACCTCCATACCAAATGACTGCATCATTCGATAATTCTGGTGAATTTTCAGTTGGGGTGCAATTCAGAGGAAAAAATGAAGCTACCCTAGCGATTAAAGAGTACTGCATAAAATGCCATGTTGATATCCATGTTGCAGAGTCCAACCAGAAAACCCTATACGCGAAGTGTGTAAAATATGGCCTAGAGTGCAAGTGGAAGATCAGAGTGTCGAAAAATCAAAGGCACGATGTTTGGGTCATCACGAGGTACAATGGTCCGCACACGTGTTTGCGAAACTTCATCGAACAAGACCACCGACTATTGGACTCCGATGTAATATGTGAATACGTGAAGGCGATGGTTGAAAAGGATCCAAGGATATCTTGTTCAGTGTTAGCTGCATCTATTCGAAGCCAATTTGGATATCAAGTAAAATATGGCAAGGTGTGGAATGCGAAGATGAAGGCAATGAAGCTGACGTATGGAGATTGGGATACATCGTACAATGAGCTACCACATTTGCTACAAGCAATGAAGCGATTTATCCCAGGAACCATAGTGAAGTCTCAAACCATGCCCGCATATGACGAAGAAGGTCAACTTCTGCCAGGGAAGAAAATATTTCATAGACTATTTTGGGCATTCAAGGCATGTATTGAAGGATTTCCATTTTGTAAACGTATGATCCAAGTAGATGGTACGTGGCTGTATGGTCAATATAGGCATGTACTTTTGATGGCAGTTGCTCAAGATGGTGAGCGAAATATCTTCCCAATTGCATTCGCCATTGTTGAGGGAGAGACAACAGAGGCTTGGGATTTCTTTCTGACCAATCTACGTCAATATGTCGTTCGTGAAGATGGAGTTTGCTTGATATCCGATAGAGGAACGGGTATTTTGGCGGCAATTTAACGACCAGGAAGTCGTTGGATACCTCCGTATGCATATCCGACATATTGTATCCGTCATATTGGCAAGAATAGTATCGACCAATTTCATAACGCACACATTCGTAGCGAGATAGTCAGCATGGGTAAGTTTTATTTTCAATATTTGTGCATTTTTTACATGGTTTTTTTAATTGCGGTTTAACACAGTATATTATGAAACAGGATACGAACTACGTCGACCAAATTTTGATAAGAGATTGGAGAATTTGAAGGTATTTTACGATGATCAGCGTGTTTGGAAGTGGGCTTCAAAAATACCGCGGGAAAAATGGTCACAAGCATATGACGAAGGTCGGAGATACGGACATATGACCACAAACCTTGCTGAGGCCATTAATTCGGTACTAAAAGGTACACGCCATCTCCCAATTGCGAGTGTGATGAAAGAGACGTACTTTAGATTGGGTAAAGTTTGGTCGGACAAAGGCAAAGAAATAGAGAGTCTTATAAATAGAGGTAAAACTTGGGCTCCTACAGTGGTGGAATCAATGGAAGCAAATGAGCGATTGGCAACATCAATGGTTGTTCATAATTTCGACCGAGTTGGTCATACTTTTGTCGTGTCGTGCATACGCCGTAACGTCGGAGGAGAAGACCAAACATTTAGAGTTGATTTACGACATAAATGGTGTGATTGTGGTCGTTTTCAGGCATGGAAATATCCATGTGCTCATGCAGTCGCAGCATGTATGTATGCTGGTGTAAGCGCATACACTTATGTTGATGAGTGCTTTCACTTACGTAGGATATTAAATGTCTACAGCTATGAGTTCAGACAGATACCAAATGAATCATATTGGCTCAGAAAAGATCATGACGAATGGCTGCCAAATCCAATGCTTCGCAGAAGTCCAAAGGGTCGACCTGAGTCCACTCGTATTCATACCAGTATGGATTTCCATGCTAGAGAGAGAGGTCAAACAAAGAGATGCGGATTATGTAGGGGTGAAGGCCATTCAAAAAACAATTGTCCTAATTTACCAAGATATAGGCCTCATCATTAGTAATGATATATGTATTTCTATGAATTTCTATGTATTTATAAGATTTAGTAATGATTAGTAATGATGAAATTATTATTAATTTTTAATGATTTGATAGTAATGATTTAGTAATGATTAGTAATAATGAAATTATTATTAATTATGTATGATTTGATAGTAATGACTTAGTAATGATTAGTAATAATGAAATTATTATTAATTATGTATGATTTGATAGTAATGATTTAGTAATGATTAGTAATAATGAAATTATTATTAATTTTTAATGATTTGATAGTAATGATTTAGTAATGATTAGTAATAATGAAATTATTATTAATTATGTATGATTTGATAGTAATGATTTAGTAATGATTAGTAATAATGAAATTATTATTAATTTTTAATGATTTGATAGTAATGATTAGTAATAATAATTTATTATTAATATTTAATGATTTGATATTAATGATTTAGTAATGATTTGATAGTAATGATTTACGACTTGAACAATGAACAATGTTTGGTTCAATTAACCATAAAAAAAATTATCAAACTAATGATTTTTGGTTCAATGAACAATGAACAATGAACAATGATTTAGTAATAATCATTATAAAAATGATTTAATAATGATTTAAATATTTAATGATTTGATGATTTAGTAATGATTTGATAATAATCATTATAGTAATGATTTAGTAATAATCATTATAAAAATGATTTAATAATGATTTAAATATTTAATGATTTGATGATTTAGTAATGATTTGATAATAATCATTATAATAATGATTTTATAATAATTATTATGTTATTATTTAGTAATTATTTATAATAATGATTTAATAATTATTACTAATAATTATAGAATACTAACAAAGTAGTGTACAAGTGTGGATTACTGAGTTTAAATTTATACATAGTCGAATTTATTAATGATTTTTAAATATTTAATGATTTGATACTAATGATTTACTAATTATTACTAATGATTTAATACTAATTATTTGATACTAGTAATTATTTGATACTAAACATCATTGTTAAGGTTAAAAAAAGTAGTCTAATTTCAATAAATAATTTGTAATAAATAGCAAACGAGTTTACAATTGTTGTCGATGTCGGGGTGTTGTTGAATGATAATGTCGGGGCGGACGTCTGATACGTTGTGGCCGTTGTGGCTCAGGAGTATTGTACTCATCCCCCTCATTCATTGGGGGTATTTGAACTGTCATGTGTTCAAAGTCATACGTCGACGAAAACGTAGGAGAATAGATGGGTGCCTCAGGCTGCACAAACTCTGGTATGTATGTCGGGCCAGTAGAGTCATCAACTGCGTGATGCAACGATTGTGGTGCGCTATTATCCACATCGGTCATTTCCGCTTCAGTTTGTAGAGATGAACTCCCACTCCCACTCGGTAGAGAGTATTCAGCTTTACCAAATCTTTTCTTAAACCTCAAAAATTGTCGCCTCTCTACTATTGTTGTGAGGAACGGCTTTCCATTATCCAAAAAATAAGCAAGGTAAGCCGAAGTCTCAAAATTAAAGTCGTCGTCTTGAATGGCGTCAAGAGTTGGCATGAATGAAGCCCTATTGTTCCAAGCATTAATGTAGGTTGCATGCTTCTCAACCCAATTAACGCTTTCTTTACGACGACCATCAAATCTGTGCAGGTCGTCATGCGTCTCAACCCAATTCACTGGACGACGACCATCTAAGTTTTGGAGGAGGTCATGATCCCATGGACTCCGCGGAATAGGTTGGTGGAAGTGGAATTGCCTCAACACTCTATCCCCAAATTGGATCTCAACAAAAGCAAAATTGATCAATGGTGTAACAGCACACCAATATTGAAACCCATCTAAAATATCGTGCGGTATCAACGCAAATAATTCTTCATTCATGTATGGTCTCCAATTAAACTGTAAAATTACAAAAACAATAAAATTTATTTAAATTAGATAATATAGTTAATTAAAATAATAATTAAAAAATACAAATTATGCATACCTCCTTTTTGGCCTTAATGTCTATCTTCAACCTGAACTCTTTAATGTTGTTGTGCACCAACCCTGTGCCTTCAATTTTATGCCTCCATCTGTATATCAATCAAAACAAAAATAGAGACATTTTGTTCAATAATTTTAATCAAAATAAATATTTTTAATTAATATTTTATATTAAAATAGAGGATTCATATTACCGTCCGGCAAGTGGAAAGTCAACCGCAGTCCGACTAATCGGTGTCAGAAACGGAAGTCTATGCCAAGCCCATGATTGTAGAAGCAACAGACATCCACCGATTTCTACTGTATTATTATCATTCACGACTAATGACGCCTTGCACATCTCACGATACAAGAACGCCAATATCGCCGAACCCCAGCTATATTGCCTACAATTCTCAAAATTTGTTAAAAAAAGAAGATACTGAGTGTGAACATAACTACCGGATTTATCAGGCATCAAAATTCCCCCAATCAATTGTAATATATATGCTCGTGTTGCATATATAATTTCGTGCTCCGTACTATTTGATTGAAGTTGAAATTCATTCTTCAACCATGACAACCTCACCCGCCACCCTTTACACTCTGGTGGTACGGGCGCTTTCCCAAGAAACAAGTTGCAAAGTTGTTCCACCTTATTAAACTCATGTGACATTACCACCGGCATCCCATTAGTTTGGACCCCGAGTTGCATTGCCACATCCTCCAAAGTTATCGTGCATTCGCCACACGGCAAATGAAACGTGTGCGTTTCTGGTCTCCAGCGTTCAATCAACGCACTGATCAAACCTGGGACCAACTTGTAATCTCGCACAAATGTGACATACCAAAATCCAGCCTCTTGCAAATTTTCTTCTATTAGTGGGTGTGGCTTGGGCACTTTATGTAGTCGAAGACGAAGGACTCGCTGCTCGTCCTCCTACAATTAAATATTTCAAAAAAATTATCACAATCATAAAATAATATTCAAATATTTATTAATTATAATTCATTAAACAAATATTTTATTCACCATTATTCCCAAATGACTTGAAATATGTTCATTGTCAAGCCTCAACAGTGGAATTTGGTCAGCCATTGGAATGAATCTGTAAAAAAAATTAAACAACAATATTTAAAAAATCATTTAATATAATCTAATATAAACTAACTAACTAATTTACAACACTAAACTTTAATATAATAACTTATAATATAATAAACTAATAAACTAACAAACTAAACTTTTTAAAATATAAACGTAAACACCAAACCCTTAAACAACTAATAAAATATTTTTTTATATAACTAAAACTAACTAATAAACTATTTTTTCATTATAATATACTACTAATAAACTTACTAACTAAAACTAACTAATAAACTAACTAATTTTTTATATAATATATATTCAACAAACAAATATAACTTAACTATTTAACTAACAAAAACTAATTAAATAATTTTTTATATAACTAACTATTAACAAAACAAACTAATTAATTATTTTTTAACTATATAACTATCAAACATATACTAATTAAATAATTTTTAATTTATGTATACTATAACTTAAACTAACAATCATATAACCCTAAACTAATAAACTAATTAACATTTATAATAATAAACTAATTTAAATATAAACAAATTTACCTTATCTCCCTTTCTTCTTCTTACTTTCCTTTCTTTCTCCCTTTCTTTCTTTCTCGGCTGAATCTCTTCTCCCTTTCTTTCTTTCTTTTATGTGTGATCTTTCTTCTTGCAATTTGCACACCCCATATATAACCGGCTGCCTCAATTATTTCACCAACAATGGTTCAATTATTGTTCATGCATGGTCTCGTCTCGTGAGCTAGGATCACATGGCATGCTGTAGGCATGCAGCGGGGAGCAGGAGCACGTGAAGTTATCTTGGCATGCATGCAGGCATGCAGCGGGAGCAGGAGCACGTGAAGTTATTTGGCTGCATGTGCATGCATGGTCTCGGGAGGCAGTGGACGCCGGGGCGACCTACAAGGTCGCCGGGACTACATGGCGACCTACAAGGTCGCCGGGACTACATGGCGACCTACAAGGTCGCCCAGACTGCATGGCGACCTCTCTATTGGCTGGCTCGTTTGCATGGCGACCTCTCCGTTGGCTGGCTCGTCTGCATGGTGAGTATATGGCTTGTATGGCTCGTCTGCATGGGTATGGCTCGTCTGCATGGTGAGTATATGGCTTGTATGGCTCGTATGTCACTCGTATGTCTCCCGTATGTCGCCTGGATTGCATGGCGTCCTACAAGGTCGCCTGGATTGCATGGCGTCCTACGAGATCACTGTAGAATTCACCCCATACCAGCAATTAATCTGAAATGTGCATTATATCGTGAATAAAAAAAATCGAGAACATTATCTCGTGAATTCACCCGGTGTAATACATGTGGAAAACTACCTATCAAACGGAGGCGATGCCGGTGAGCAAGAAGAAAGCCCCACTGACGGTGATCACTTTGTATAACGAAATAAAAATAATTTAGATAACCCCGTTCGTCACCCTGTTCACTGCCACTCCTATGCTCAATCACTACGCACTTAGTCTCAACGGGAATATCGTTATGGAAAACCTAGGTGTCGCTAGTGACGTCACATGACTCCCACTTTGAACAGGAGCAAAGCTTGACGTCCGGCTTTATTGAGCAAAAATGTGGCTACCAAGATGAAGATTATCTTGCTATTGTCGCGAGTAGGTTTTCGTTCGATGATGTGATCTCGACTTTTTCGAAAACTCTTGGACTGTACAAAACGGCTGTGTTTACTTCGTTCAAAAAAGTTTGGAGTGTACAAACGAACGCTGCTTTGTGGTCTTCGTTCAAAGAAAATTACAACCTCAAGATTATCAATCAAAAACCAAACACTCAATTCCTAATGCCCCAATCTATACAAATTTGAGAGTTCATCCCTTCTCTATACTTGCTATAAATTTTAGCCTAAACGGTTTCCCTAATGGAACACACAGTATCAGAACCCGTCAATCTCAAATTTCTAAAACACCGTCTATTCCTTTCAGCCGAAACAAGTTAAATGAATGTGTTACAGGCAATTCTAAAATAGTGACGAATACGAACTTACTTCAGAGTAGTCTCTCACACTGTAATCGAGATTGAGCAACCGAAGAAAATATATGCACGAGACTCAATCGCATTATTGCAAGGAGCACATTCACTCTCCACATTTATACCCGTGCGAGTCAATCTGTCACGAGTCGTCAATCTATTGAGCAACGCCATCCAAGCGGTAATAGCAGTGAATGGGGTTGTTACGTTGGTTTGTGCCACCTCTTCAAAATTTACAATTATTGACTGGCTTAATAGTGATGGCGGTAGCGGCTTGGGTTGGTCTTTGTATACACTTCTATTTTATTAGTTTAAGATAAATATAAGGTAATAGTTATTCAAAAACTCTTAACTATTTAACATTAAATGTTTATACACACCTATATATATGATGATCAAACCTAAAACCTTAACAAAATGACAAAAATTATTTAAATATTGTGATCTTTTCGTTCATATTTATGCACACATTTAATTTTAAAACAACTCCTGATTTATTGTCATATATGTTCGAAATCGCGATCTGTTCCCAACTTTTCTGGGTGTATGTGATCCTCTATTTATTGATGGATATTGTCCTTTTTATATTAGTGTTAATTCCTCACGTACCAACGTCAAAATCGTTTGGGCCATGTTATCTCATGTGCCTTATTTATTTCTTCATTTTTTAGATTTGAAGGAAGGATGTTATCATCCAGATTTTTTTTTTTAAATAAGTATTTAATTATATATTTTTATTTTAGTCATGTAAAATGTTTTTCCCTTAAAATATGTGTCCAACCAAAGATGTATATAATCAAATACGATTTATATTTTTGCATGAATTACCTTACTTCAGTGGTTAAAAGAATTATTGGTATTTATAGAGGTCGTGGGTTCGAGTACCAACGACTACAAGAATGATTAAATGTTCATTGTCAAATGATTTAAAGTACTTAAACTATATATTATTCTGTAATAACTTTTTATTGAAAATACTACGTCTCATGCCATAAATATATGGTAACATAATAAAATATATAGTTTGACAATAATATAATAATTACTAACTGTTTCAAAAAAAAACTTTAATTATAATAATTAATTGTTTTCTTAACTTAAGTTATTAACCGTTTAAAATTCCAAAAAAAAAAAGTATCGGAACTGGAATGACCGTAAATTCCTATAAAATCAATCATTTGTAAACGCCCAATACCTAGACTCTTCTTCTTCTTCTTCCATTACGAATCAATCATCTGTAAACACCCTATCTAGGCTTTCTTCTTCCAGTGTAGTCAAAATAAAAAGTTAATGGAAGGAAGAAGAGTCTTGGTAACGAAGAAGAACATCATCTTCTTCTTCGTCATTAGTTTATTAGGTTGGAACCCAGAGCTATCGGAAGCTCAAATGGCGCCAGCGCTATTTATTTTTGGAGACTCCCAAGTAGATGTAGGAAACAATAACCACCTCCTTCTCTCCATTGCCAAGGCAGATTTTCCCCACAATGGTATCGATTTTGCCAGACAACAACCGACCGGTAGATTCTCCAACGGCAAGAATGCAGCAGATTTTCTAGGTAAGTATAAGATAAACTTTTATTTCCGATTGAATATTTCCGCCGGTACAAATCCCTTCCCTTGTAATGGGAAGGTTAACTTCTTTCTTTACTTAAAATTAGGAGCATTAATTGATTCTCATTGGTTGTGCCTAATTTACTAAATTATTATGTGCTGGTTCATGCAGGCATTATTTCTAATTAATGAGCCTCACACCTATCAAGAATTAAGTAATCTATCAAGAATTAAGTTATTTTCGAGGAATTTAAATTTTCAAATCATTAGATGTACAAAAAAACTATGGAATTAACAATTGATTCCTACGTGCAGCTAAAAAAATAGGGTTATCAAGTTCACCAGCATATCTTTCCTTGTCAGATGAGACGCATGCATCGTACATGAACGGTGTTAACTTTGCCTCCGGTGGTTCCGGAATCTTGAACAGCACGGGTTATTATGTGAGTAAAAACCTTGAATATGTTGTTCTCTCAATTGAGCTATCCCTGCCTGTTGTTCTAATTCGGGTTCGACACTGTCGGTTTTGTAGGGAAAATCCATCCGTCTGACGGAACAGATACACAACTTCTTCAAGGTACATCAAGTCATGGTGCAGAAGATGGGGTCTAATGGTGTAGAAAAGCATTTTTCCAAGTCTCTTTTCGTCATCGTCACAGGTAGCAATGACATCCTCGATTGCTTTGAATCTGAATCCAAAGATGAAACGGGAAAGCCACGGGAACTTGTGGATTTGATGATTAACTACATGAAATCACACGTTAAGGTATCGATTAAACTTTCAAAATCCGTTCGGTATGCATTAAACTTGACCTAACTCTATGTTAACTCTGTTTCCGGCAGAAATTATACGAATTCGGTGCCCGTAAAGTTCTAGTAGCCGGTGTTGGAGCAGTAGGATGTGTACCGAGACTAAGACTGAGGAGCAAAACCCATGAATGCGATGAAGAAGTCAACTCGTGGGCTGCTAAATACAATGAACAACTTAAAGCAACGTTAGTGGAGCTGAAATCAGAACTTCAAGACCTAAACTACTCGTTCTTTGATTTGCATGCTATCATGCAAAATATCATCCGAAATCCAACTGCTCACGGTATATAAACATGTCCGTCTTCGTTGTCAATCTACTTTTCCAGGCATAATTATCAGAGAAGGTGACATTTTTTTCGATTAATCATTTTACAGGGTTTAAAGAGGTCAAAGCTGCCTGTTGTGGAATTGGCGTACTGAGAGCTAAAATCCCTTGTTTGCCAATTTCATTATATTGTCCGAACAGGAAAAATCATGTTTTCTGGGATTTGTATCATCCAACGGAAGCGATGGCTCGCATTGTAGCGGATGCCATTTTCGATGGTCCTTCAGAGTATTCTGTCCCTATGAATGTTAGGCAGTTAGTTTTAGCTTAGCTGGCAATTCGGAAACTTATCGGCCAGTCTGAAAATTAAATAGTGCTTGGAAGAGTCCCCTGGATTCCATTGTAATGCACAAAACCGAAACTTTGATCAATTAATGAAAATTTGCAAGTGTATAGAACGGATTTCTCGGCCTCACTGAAATCCGCCTCCTAAGATTTAGAAAATAGATCTATAGAAGTGCCGAAGATCAAACTCTTGAAGTGACAATCTATGAAGTATATAATTTACATTGACTCGAGCCACAGGGCAAAGACTCCAACCAATTATAATACTGGAACCTCAGTGGGTTAAAATACCAAGTCAACAACGGTCTGCTTCTTCACTTGCAGCAAAATTATGGGATCATCTCTGTTTACAGTCAGCAAGGTTACATATATGCAACGATCAGTTTCACATCCTAGCCGGTGGTTCTCATGAGGAATGCTACGATACAACCAAATAATGACCCAATAAGAACCTGAATTGAAAACAAAGGAGGCATCCAAGTGGAAGAAAAAGGCAAGATTAAGATCTTTTTTGAGTGTAATTATACCGATGACCTAAACCATTAGTAGTGTTCGGAAAATAAAACTTATTTTGACGGTTGGAGTATGAGTATAACATCCATAATTAAAAAGTTATGTCCCCAGCTATTACTCAATAGCATAAATTGGCATGTTGGATAATTAGAGTGATTGCTTCTAGCACATGGATTGAAATTGCTCAAAGCTTTTCAGTAATCCTATTTCTAATTCATGTATCCAGCATTTGCGTGCTCAATTTCTGTTCTTGCTGGCTTCGTTCCTGAAGTGGTGTATGCCCGAGTGAATCTCGTAATGGTCTGACATTGGAGAGGGGATGCTCAGGAGGTAGCTCGTATACAATTTGGTTGAGTAACTGCATAACATAAATGATTGACTCAATTATTAAAGCATTACAATTATGGCAATTGCCAGCAGGCACAAATAAAAAGCACCATCAAACAAATCATGTTAGCTAGCTATAGTCATAACAGATTTCATGGAAATGAGTAGGAAAGCCAGAACTTCTAACAGTTATGATGTCACGATACACAGGAATAATCATATTAGCAATCCATTCATGGGTGAACATATATGCGTATTATTGTAAGAAACATATCATACAAACACAAAGGAATTTTATCCAAGAGTCTATCTCCAGACTTGAGCAGATTGTCCGATAATGATTTTATCCAGTAGTCGTGTTCGGTTGCACCTCATCATTGCTATAGGGACTAAAATATTAACTATAGGGACTAAATTTGGAGAAGTTATCAAATTATATTAGTGTGGACAAAAAAATTAGAAGTCAAGTAAAAAACATGCTTGAAGTAGTGAATATTTTAGCCCCTATGGTTAATATAATTTGATAACTTCTCCAAATTTAGTCCCTATAGTTAACTTACTTCAATATTAGGCCTTAACGAAATCTAAATTTGGAAAATAAAGTAGTTAATATTATGATTAATATGAATAAAATTTTAACAATAGAATTAAAAATATTAAATTTACAGATTAAATGTTATTTAACTTATTTTTTAGTATAAACCTTGAAGAACTGAGAGTCAATTCTGACATGTAGAGGCAGACGAAATTTCCCATTTTGTAGGGTTGCTTTGCATGGGACATTTGATCCTATCAAGGCTCATGCGGCAAATACAAAATGCTTGAAGGGCACTTACAGTTTTCAAAACTTTTTGGCGAAAATTATATTTTTTGTTTTTATTAATTTTAATCGATTGTTTATGATCTATAAGACATATAATATTGTCAAATATAAAATGATATTATTTTGTTATACCTTCCGTCGTATTATGTCACTTCAGAAGATTTTTATGTTAGAATTATATGTGAAATTCAACAATAAATAGTTTAATAACATAACGGATTCATATATCGGATTTAAATTAATATATTAAATTTATAATTATTTAAATTTTATATTTAATTTAATCACGAGACAACAGCGTAACCATCAAATAATAGGAGCATACAATAAAGCACATTACAAGAAACAAAAAATACCCTATTGAAGGTGTTCACCTGATCATACCCTCTTGCGCGAGCGCTCCACCATACGGCGTGATTGGGGTCCCAAACTCGCGGTCACCGTCAACGGCACCCGCCTTCTCCCTTTCGAGGCTCGTATGGTTGAGGAAGAAAAAAACCCAACATAACTCTTGGAAACATCCTTTCTATTTCTTTCCTTTTCACATCTCTGTCGAGTTTTTAGTCCTTAAACCCTCAGAAATTAACTCTGAAGAAACCAACAGGGCCACTAAATTCCTTCAGTACCCATTTCTCCAAACTATAGCCACAATACCTTGAGAAAACAGACTCCACACCATTCCCCCTTCTATTTAGTATATATATCTTCCATATCATTGCGTTAGCAGACCAGCAGAAAATAAAAAATCAGAGAAAAGTTTCAATCTTCGGGTGCGCCTCAGGGTGTTCGATAATAAGTTTAATAGAAGTTAGAGAGGTTGGGTATTTGGTTGAAGTAGTTTCTTTGAATTTTGGGGTAACACCCAAGGTTAGACATTGTGAACATCACGGCTATACACAGAGTTTCTCGGCCTATTTTTCATGTCCGAGCTGTACGACGTAAGGGTTGTGTGATCGAGAGCAGCCCTTCGCCGCATGGTGGACGTTGAGCTTTGCCTTCGGAAGGCGGTAGACCTTCCGATCTCCTCTTCCTTGCAGGTGGTGGTATTGTCTTTTAGACTTCAGTAGCCTAATTAGTTAGCTTTTAAGTCTGTAAAATAATACTATCCAAGAAGCTTGTTTCTCGTTGTCCACGTTGTCGTTCTTTTGGGGTGTTCTTTGTTTGATTTTTATTGGTAAAGAAAGAAATGGAGTATTAGCAAAGATGATGCAGCTCAGTATTACGAGGGTTCCCACTGTTGTTTCGAATCACCAAAAAGATGAGACGGAAGAAACTGCATTCCAGGTATTTGTTATATTTACTTTGTAAACATTGCTCGTTTCTTTTGATAGAAATGAAGTGTAATTGGAACTGGGTTTTGGTTTATAGGAGCAAAGCTTCCTTTATATGCTTTCAAGAAGGAAAGCAATATTGAGAATGAAAAAGATGTTCTTGAAATTGAAAACAAAGAGCCTCCGATTGCTTTTCTTGATTGTCTTGTTCTTGGGGAGGTAAAATTTGCTATGAAGCTTGGTGAATAAGCTTTACGTTTCATTATGTTTAGTGTTTGTTGTGTTCACTAATGGCGAGGTTAAAAATTACGTTATGGTTTTATGGTAGTGGGAGGATCGCATGCAAAGAGGACTCTTTAGATATGATGTCACTGCCTGAGAAACAAAGGTCTTATTTTAGGCTCCTTTTCTATTCACTTTCTTTACTTGATTATCTGAGATTGTGAAAGCCATAAAGTATATGGTTCATTGAGTTGTTGTACCATCAAAAATGTTTGTGATTATCATTGTTTAGGTGATTTCTGGTGAATATGGCTTTATTGCCCAGCTGAATTAGGGCCGCCACTTGAAGAAGAAGCCAACCGAGTTCCGTGTTGATAAGGTTCTCCAGCCCTTTGATGGGAACAAGTTCAACTTCACCAAAGTCGGACAAGAAGAGGTGCTTTTCCAGTTCGAAGCAAGTGAAGATGGTGAAGTTCAGTTCTTCCCAAAAGCTCCCCTTGATGTTGAGAATTCTCCAAGTGTTGTTGCCATAAATGTATGTTAGTCTACTTATTCAAACTATGGAATAGCATCTAGTTGATCAAGAGTGCTAGACTCATATGATTAAACATTGTTTGAATTCAATTTGACAGGTTAGTCCTATTGAATACAGGCACGTGCTGTTGATCCCTCAAATTCTCGAATGCTTGCCCCAGAGGATCGACCACAAGAGCTTCTTGCTCGCACTCTATATGGCAGCTGAAGCTGGGAATCCGTACTTTAGTTGGGTTACAACAGCTTGGGTGCATTTGCTACAATCAATCACCTACACTTCCAGGTATCTAACCTCCTAATGGTACTCTTCATGTACTTAACCAGGGATTGAAATTGCGGAACGCAACCGCAATAGCGGCTGCTATTTTGCTGTAGCGCCGCCGTCCGAAACCGATATTCGGGAAAATTGCGGTGGGTAGCGGAATCACGACAATAGCGGTCTATCGCGGCCGCAGTTTAGCGTTTAACGGTAAATAGCGTCGATAACGGGACGTTATTCTCGTTATTAACAAATTTTCGCATAAAAAGAACCCACTACCCTAGCTTGCTCTCATGATCAAAATAGAGCAAACATTAAAGAGAGAGAAAAGCAAGCAACGCCAGAAAAAGTAAGCATTTTACCAATGGCTGAGAGCTGGTCGATAAACAAATGGGTCTTCATTTTTATGCTCATATTTGCTCATTCATCTTCTTCTTCACTTGTTGAAGATGGTATGTACCATCACTTTCCTCCATTTTTTTTTGAAGCTCTAATTTGCATTGTTGATGGATTATGCTTTCTGGGTTTCTTGCTTTTGTTTGAGATCTGTTAATTCCTTTAGTTACAGTACCTTGATGAATTGGGGTTCAGTTGATTTTAGCTAATATATTGAGTTCTTCCATTGGGGAGGTCCTTTCTTCAAGGAGTAATTAATTAACCCACGGCTTTAAAACTTAACCGCCCACGTTTTAATGTCCCTTTATTTTAGTGACTAAATTTAAATTGTGCGAAATTTAAAAAAATTCACGAGCGCAACACCCGCAGTGACCATGATTACATCCGTTAAGTCCGAAACCGCGATAAACGCGACGTGACCGAAAATACTATTTAAATCCCTGACTTTAACCGTTAGTTGTAGGAAGAAAGGTAGTAGTTTGACTACTGCAATTGCTGCAGGCCTACTACTTGGCTGTTCCCTTTCCTATTGAGAAAGCTCCTACCAAGAAAATTACCACTTTGAATGTGTGATTATCTCAGAGCTTTTAAAGTGGCTAAATTACTGACACTGTTTTTTTTTAATTTTCTTTTTCTGACACCGTTTGACTAATATTTCCAGAAGTAGCACCCTTTCTGCTGAGTTGGCAAAGGCGCGTCCCCGGGGACGCGTTTTACTCGTGTTTTCGCTGAGTTGGATGCCACGTGTGGAAGGCGCGTCCCCGGGGACGCGCCTTTGCCATATCAGCAGACACGTGTGGAAAGCGCATCCCCGGGGACGCGCCTTCCATTAAATGTCATAAATGCCCCCATCCGTTTTTCCTAACTACCCCTCCTCCTCCCCTATATAAACCCTCTCAACCCTCCCTCATTCTTCACACCAAAATCATATTCTCCTCTCTTATATAACTCAAATTCTCCAACTATTTGAGTTTTAAATTTGTTATTTGTGGTAAGAAATTTATTTTTATGTTAGTATTTTTTTAAATAGTTATTATTTTTTATATTAATATATTTATTTAAATATTATTTTTTTTATTAAAATAATATTTATATAATTATTATTCTTTCAAGCACTCAAATATCCATGCTCTCATGTCATTGCTGCTTGCTCACATTCGCATTTGGACTACAAAAATTATGTTGATCCCGTATACCAACTTTCACAAGTATTCAACGTATATGAATTTGAGTTTCCGCCCATAGGAAACGAAAGAGACCCAAATGAGATTCAAACTTGGCTTACAATTGTACCAGATCCATTGCTATTGAGGGACTCAGGTCGTCCAAACTCTACTAAAATACATTGTGATATGGATATTCGGGAGAAGTCAACAGAACAAAAACGATGTGGGCATTGTAGAAACATCGGGCACAATAGAAAAAAATGTCCAGCTCTGTTATCATCATATAACCGTTAACTCTTATGTAATTAATATTGTATTTAAATGAATGTTTTTGTTTCTAATAATTTAATGTTATTGCATTTATATAATTTGTCAATGTATGTACACCTAAATAATTTTTTTTAACTTTTAAATACATAAATATATTTAATATATTTATTTAATATAATAATTAATATTATTAGTTATAATTTTTTTTTTAAATTATAATAATATTTCCACCTTCTAAGTAGAGAAAAATATTAAATTAAACAAATTAAAAGTTATTAAAAAATTTATGTATACGATGACACATTTCATGTTCTGATTGGAGGATTAAATTTATTAAATTAAATTTTTAATAAGACTAATTTTATAAAATATGTAAGTCTTGAAGATAAAATATGTAATTATATTAATTTATTAACTTATGCATCAATATTTTCGTTAAATATTGATATGAGATGACTAGATTGATAACATTTAAATAATTAACTGATAAAATTAATAGATCGATAATCAAAATCAAAAATAATAATATAACTATATGTGTAATATTATAATTTCATACATTTTTCCTATAACTACAATAAAGTCAAAACTGGTTTTCATATATTGTTATATCATATTAATGTAGATAATTCACTCCACCTTTAACACACATTAACAAAATACATTTGATAATTCTTACATTATAATCGAAACATTTTACATAATATATTATTAATTTATAATAATAATAAAAATAAACTATTTATTATAAAACAAAATACGTGTCTGCTGAGTTGGCAAAGGCGCGTACGCGCCTTCCACACGTGGCATCCAACTCAGCGAAAACACGGGTAAAGCGCGTCCCCGAGGACGCGTCTTTTCCAACTCAACAGAAAGGGTGCTACTTCTAGAAATATTGGTCAAACGGTGTCAGAAAGAAAAAATTTAAATCAAACGGTGCCAGTTATGTAATTTAGCCTTTTAAATATCCAGTCAGAGGTCTTGTCTTTGAGGGTGGTAACACTCTCCGAGACTTGTCTGACACAGTATCTGACGCCTGCATTTGCCTTCAAGATAATAGCATACCATACAATGTCCTCATCTCTGATTCTGGAAAGCGGATCTTTCTCCTTCCCCAGGTAAACTAACTAGAAGTTTGGTTGACACTTTTTTACTCTCCTATCTATTAGTTCTTACATTTGACCTGACAGTGTTGTTCTGAAAAACAAGCTCTTGGGGAAGTGAGTTCAGAGCTCTTGGACACCCAGGTCAATCCAGCTGTGTGGGAAATTAGTGGTCATATGGTGTTGAAAAGGAGGAAGGACTATGATGAGGCATATGAGGAAAATGCTTGGAGGCTCCTTGCGGAGGTTTCTCTCTCTGATGAGAGGTTCCAAGAAGTGAATGCACTCATCTTCGAAGCCATTGCTGGTGGCCAAGATGTCATTGCAAATGTTTCTGAGGTTGAGGAGCCTGATACCAAACCTCGATCTTGAAGAAGAGAATTCCATCAATGAAAACTCTCACCATGCCATGGTGGCTGGGACACAAGAATGCCTTGTTCTGCAGTAATGATCAACATACTCTAATCAGAACCCGGTTTAGAATTTCTATGGGTTATAGTACTTGTAGCCTAAATAAGCAAAACAAAGTTTGCACTGTTTTCATCGATCTTATTTAAACTGCTATAAGCTTTTTTGCTTCATGGACTCCCCAATGTAATGCTTGCTGTTACGAGATAATAAATGCACATCATTGTCTAGCTTTTAATTAATTTTTGGGTAAAAATAAAAAAATATCAATTGACTATAGAGTATTACTTTATTGAGCCTCTTAACTATTTAAAATTACAAAATAATCTTTCGATTATAGTGTTGTTTTGTTGAATTTATTGACTATGAAAAGTTATAAAATAATCACATAACTATTTATATGTTTTAAATTCATCTTTTTCATTAAAAAATTAACAGTTGTCTGAGCTTGACGTCAACGTACTAATTGAGATATAATAAACGTCAATTTTTTAACGAAAAATGACAAGTTTAGAACATACGAATAGTCAGATGATCATTTTATAATTTTTAATAGTCAATGAATTCAACAAAGCAACACCCTATAATCGATAGACCATTAGTGTATTTTACTCTTAATTTTTTACTACATTATTTCACGAACGGAACAAAATATTGCATAAATAATGCATTAAACAGGATGTTAGCAATGGCCCTGCTTGGCAGTGGTGATTAGTGAAGGAATAAAAAAACCTGAGATAAAGACATTTGTCAAGCACAAATTTGACACAAATAGAAAACTTTCCACAAATACCCATATTTATAAACTACATAAAAAACCCACAGAGTCCCCATGCAACTAACAAACACCACATTGTTCTATACTACGATTACTCGAGAATCATACCCCTAACCCATGAGTGAATCCATGCAATATTTAATAGATCCTAATTCACAAGTACTACCACTTAAATCCTACTACATAACATAAAAAAATGCTACTTAGGCCATAGCACCACCGGTTTGATGTAGCATTGCATCGATCTCATCCCCATCCTCCATTTCCAACTGCAGCAACAAAACACATAAAAATTAAGAAACGATAAATAAAACATAAGCGTGCACACACACATATATGTAGAGAGTGAGAAACCTCATCTGGAGTCTGCTCCCCTCGCAGACGGCGACCATCAAACAGAAAAGCAATCGAGTTGAAATCCACTGATTGTCGATCACAATACGCATTCATAAGCTTCTTCAGTTGTGTGGATCTTTTAATCCTAAAAAACACTTCATTCCCATCCTACAGACATCGCAAATAAATGAATTGGCCTTTTCTTGAACATTATTTCAGCCTAGATACGCTCCACATGCAATCTAAGCTAACTGTACATCAACAAATGTTCCCAAAATGTTGTCTTTCCTAGTTAGGTGTTCCAAGCACTACTGCACAAATGCATCCTTGCATTTCTATTTAACTAAAGCAAACACCTTATGTGATAAACCGTTTAGATTACGGGTACGAACTCCATGAGAGACTATCACAAATTCAAGGAAACAACATGCAGAGATGGCAGTATTATCAGAAATTTTAACTTAGCACGAACAATCGCACATAGTCATCATGGAAAGACAATCGCACAAGTGTTGACGAATTAGCATTTCAATAAAACTTTCTTCAAGTAAACTACAACCAAAGTAACCGGCGTACAATTATAGTCCACAAAACAAACTAAATCGATTTGCTTCACTCTTTAAGCAATCGCTTGCACCTTGCTATCAAAGATAAGTAACGTAAAACATCATAAAGACGACAATTCGTGTAATCAAAATACAGTACCACTGTTTTGCTACCAAAATCCTAACATATCAGTAGTTACTTTGCATTCTTTTCATAGCTAAAACTCCCAATACATACTAAAAAAAACTACTTTCGCCTGCTTTTGTTTCCCATATTTATAAATCAACTTATTTTATTTAAAAAACAAACAAAAACAAATCAAGCGTCTTGTCAGTAAAAAAAACTACCTTCCATAAATTTGTGATTTTGTAAATAAATTAAAAAAAACAGTGAAAACCAAGTGAGAGATGAAATATCATCTATAGGGAAAAAGTAAATCTCTAGAATTTTTAAAAAATATAATTAAAACAGTAAAAAAAAAACAGGGAAATAGGGGGGAAAATCTCACCTGGCCTTTGACTTTGAGATTAATGTGAGCCGTTTGATCAGCGGGCTTCCTGTCTTCTTCTTGATTGGTTACTCCTGACATATTGTTTGTTCTACTTCAGGGATAAATCGGAGTGTTTCGATTTCGGGGCTCCGGGCTAGCAACTGATATCTTTATTATGGCTTTGGCTGCTGGAGAAACAAGCGATCTCTTAGGAAGGAGACTTTAGCATTATATAGTGGTCGTCGGGGGAAAGAAATGGACGGTTAGATTTAGGGATGGGTTCAGGTTATTGGCCCACTAGACTCCAAAAATATATATAGAGAGAGAGGGGGGAGAGAGTTAGTATCCATTTACATAATTTATATAAATAAATGGATATTATTATTTAAAAAAAAATTGTACAATTATTATAGAGTTATAATCTATGTAGACAATTGATATAGATAAACAGGTATTATTATTTAAGAAATAATTGTACAATTATTTTTTATTATGTTAGATTTAATAATTTTTTTCTTAAAATTAATTTGATCTGATCTTATTATTTAAAAAAACTAATCCAACTCAAATTTAATTTATCTTTAAAAAAATTAATATTATAATGAATTCTAGTAAAATATTTATCCATAGTTGATTAATTTTTTTCTTTTTAAACGAAGATAGATTAAATAAGTTTAATTCCTTATTTACTTACTATGTCATAACGCTAGATAAGTGTTTAAAATATATTTTTTCTTATTTAGATATTTATTTATTTTGGTCAATTTTGATGTTTCGATTGTAATAGATGTTAAAAAAATCTGTTAACCACTCATAATATAACATGTGACACCTTTATAAAATTTTAAAAAATTTATTTTAAAACAAATCTTAAAATTATTATTATTATTATAAAAAAACTCAAAATAATTCTAAAATTTCAAAAAGTCCCAAAATCTTTAATCTCAAGGTATCCACCCCATCAGCCAATCATCTACCCACATGTTTTCGCCTACCCACCGACGTCAATCGTAGTTTTAAACTCTCTAAACCCAAAGCCCTTAATATAAACTCTAAATCCCTTAATCGAACTATATCCCTAATTCCCAACACATTTATCCTAATCGACGTGTGAACGGTTGAAGAGTGGTCGGCAAGTGAGTGGATGGTCGTCGTCGGTGGTGATGGCCGACAAATGAATTAAAAATCATGGGTAGTTTATGAAAAACAAAAAAGGTTTCTTTACTTTATAAATTTTATTTTTTTAAAAAAAATTAAATGAAATAAAAAAAATAAAGCAACGTGTCAAACACTTATTGTCTTATTTTTAATGGGTTTTTTAAATTGATCAAAAAAATAGATACCTAAATGGGGAGGTATAGTTCATACACTTATTTTCATACTAACCCTTTTAATTAAATGGAGAAAGATAAATGAAATGTGGATGTTTTGATATTGATTTTATCATGAAAAATGACCAATGACAATAGATGACTGGCTACCGTAAGTGGTTAAAAAAGTATAATACCAAAAAATGATCTATTCAAAAGTTCAGTGATAAAATTAATACACCATTAAAATTTAATACATATAACAATGTCATTTTATATATCAATAATCATGTCAATATGATGTTATTTTATTTGTATTATCATATCATTTAAATTATAACAGTCCAATGACATAATTAAATTTAAAATCTAGTATTGTAAATAGACCAATTAAAAGTTTATTAGTATAAACAAGATATAGTCTAGACTAAATGATATTTGATGTAATTTACCTAAATTTATATTTTGTTTTTGGCCATTTAGTTGTCAGATTGTCGTTTCATTAACACCACGGGCGCCGTTTTGAAGAACCAAGCAACGTTCTTAAAGAGCCCTTGGTCGTACTTTCGCTTCCCTTTTATCTCTCCCGTTCTCAACACCAAATCTTGAACTTTGGAATTCAGAACTGCTCCTATTTACGATTCTACCACTGAGCCTTCCTGCCATCAGTTTCTCTCCAGGTAAACGACTGAGCTATCTTTTAATTCAACTCTTTTAATTTACGCAATTTAAAATTGACAACCAAATCAAATGGTTGTGAATTTGATAACTAAATAACGCCAACTGTTCGATAAAATTCCCCAGAAGCTTGTGTTTTTGCTTATTTTTTTAAGAACCAAAGAATAATTTTCCCCCTTAAACATTGTTGGGCATTGAAAAAAATGTTTCTTTGTTAAGTGTTTGATTTATGGTTTTTGAATTTATAGAGGGGAAGAAGAGAAGAAGGTAGAAAAATGCTGCCTCAAATACTGAAGAAGACAATTACTGATAACCCAAAGAAGCTTGCTAACTTGATTGACCTTGTAAATCTTCCTTCCCCAGTTAGAGAATTTGTGGGCCAGTCTCAGATTTCACGTTTGGGTTGTTTCATGCGTGCTTGGTCTTATATCAAGGAGAACAATCTTCAGGTACTCTTAGGTCTCCTGTTTAAGTTTGCAGCTTCCTGTTTAAAAACTGATTCCTTTTTTCCCCCCATCAAATGCTTATAAATAAATTATGGAGAGGCTGTACTCACCCATGTCTTTTTCATATTATTTTGCACTCCAAGACGTTGCATGTAGATTATTGAATAAGTTTCTTAGTTCATTGATAGTTCCGTCTTCTTATTCTTTATTAGCATGTTAGATTTGGATTGGTAAATTGCTGTGATGTTCAGGTAGGGACAAACAGTCTTTTCTTTTTCTTCATAAAGATGTGTTTTCAAATGAATAATTTTATTGGTAAGAAGTGTTTTTTTTAATTTATTGAACATGTGGTTTTTTATGACATTTTCCCTTAAATGATAATGTTTTACTGCCATTTGTGGATATGTGTGTCCATGAGGACAATGATCTCTTCTCTCTGCAAGTCTGCGTTATATGCAGACATGTCCCAGGAAATGATAATCATGTCTAAGACCATTCACTTTACAATAAGAAAGTTTGATGTTGTAAAGTGGAAACTGAGGGCACAACTCTTGTCACCACCACTTGCTCTAGAGGTTCTTTAATGATTTTATTTGACGTTAAGGCTTTCTTATGTATATTTAATTGTTTACTGCGCATGCATTTCGGGATTTAGTTCCTGAAGTTTTAGTTTCTTATTCATAAATTGATTTCTAAGTGTTGGACTTGATGTTGTACTATATATACAAATTTACCTGAGGAGTGTGCCACTTTTTCTTGACTAGGATCCAAACAATAAGAATCTTGTCAATTGTGATGAAAAATTGAGGAGTATTTTATTGGGCAAGTCTCGACTTGAGCTGGCTGAGCTTCCTGCACTTATCAAACTGCATTTTCCTAAAGTGCCCAAATAAGCCAGATGATTCAAGTATGCTCCACAGAGTGTCTTCCATACCCTGCCCTCGAAGATCTCTAGCTGCTGCTTGTTCTGTTAAATCAGTTGATTATTACTTGTATATGCCTCTGATATTTGATAGTTTGGAGTGAACTTCTTATTAAAATTTGGTCTTTCCCTCTCAAATGAACTTTTTTCTTTAAAGGATCTTAGTTTGCAATAAAGAACAGTTTTATTGGTTGATCTTATTTCTTAGTAGGCAATGTCAATTTCTATGATGGAAATCTCTTAGAAAACATTTCTGAATCAAACTTTTTTCTCTTCTGAAAGAAAAATCATCTATTAGATGTTGAAACATTGAATGATAGTTTCATGCAAATATTCCGAAGAGCCTCATCAACCATGACAAGTGTCTTCCAAAAATAATTGTTGTCTAGTGGAGATAAACTTTCTTGATTTAAAGTTTAAACTTGTTATTTTGAGTCTTCATCTAGCATGCATTTTTTCAGTTGACTTATTGTTTGCTATATTTTGCTGCATGGAATATATTTGAAACAACAATAATAAGTTAATAGATATTGAAATAATACCATATCTAGTTAATACTCCTACAACGATGAAGCATTGCTTCTTTTCTTACTTTTAGTAATTATCGGTACTCGTCTAGGGTAGTTTTGACCACATAATCAGCCACAATGGCATTTGTTTTCTCTGTTGGGTGAAAGGCATCCCAGAAGACATACTTGTTGGCATCTGAACATGTAAATGAGTTCATGTTATCACACTGGTAGCTCATCTCGAAGAATCCAGTCCCACAGCATGCTGTTTCTGCATTGTCAAATCCTGTATTGTAGAATGTTTATCAGAAAAAAAATACCTTAAGAGGAGAAATATGTTAGAACACTTGCCTTATTAGATCTACACTCACACTGTGCACAAATATGTTCAATAGCACAGCCACACACACAGAGATGGCCCAGTTTGCCTGAAATGGCTTGTTTTTATGGTGTTATGTCTCTTCATTCATTCGGTGGTATGAATTTTGCACATTTATATGCCTTTTTAAACAAATAAGTTAATTTACTTTCTGCTAAATAGGGGAATAATTTGTATGAAACTAGCGAATGTGAGTTCTTGAGGCTTGTGAGAGGCAAGTAACAACAAAGGGAACCTGAAAGTACCCAGTTGCTGTTCGGTTTCATATAATTTGTAAGCACGGTTGCATTTTTAAATATAATCCTTGTATGCGTAGTCCATTTTGTGCATTAAGTGTAAGAATCATCTCATGGCTGTACAGGTACGCAGAGCTTATTCTAAAACTCTTGCCATAATCTGGGATAAGGAAATGCTTGTAGATGCTATGGTTCAGATGCAGAGTTGAGATATGCTACTGTTCTAGCATTTAAGGTTAACTGAACTAAGTGGGCCATTTTCAGGCTTCAACAAGGTTAATTTTACTAGACTGGTTTTCTGCATGATATCTGACCCATATGGATGGCATAGAATAGGAATCCCATCTTTATGGAGTTTGAACTAGTTAGGTTATTGATTCAAGTAGTGGATATGCCCTTATTCTAGTATCTCCTATTCTTTACACATGACATTAGGACCAAATTGTTAGACCGTGAAATGTATCCATTTAAATATATATATATCATTTGGATAACTGCTCCAGTTGGATAAGCATCTTAGCACTTTACAGGTTAACATGTAATTCTTGGTACTGTTTAAGCAAAATATATATATCATTTGGGTATGACTATATTAATGCTTAAAATGACGTAGTTTTGGAAGACTATATAAACTCTTTAATTTGTGTATAAATTTCAACACAACTTTAAAATACTTTAATTTTAAGCATTGAACTTTCCGACTGCCATTAGTAGTCAATCAACA